CAGTATTGTTTCGGGTTTCACTTTGTTGTCTTGAACCTCTCCTGTTTTATGAACTTTGAATTTTGCCTTCTTGCTTGGATTTGTTCACCTGTGTTGAACTGCTTTACCAGTATTGACCTTCCTGCCTCATCATTCTCGTAAGCCTGCTGACCATTTACTTTAGCAACACATCTTTTTGAATTGCACAGCTCTGCCTCAGTTGTCTGCATTTGGGTTCAGTTCTTTGTGTTCCTGGTTATCCTGCTTGAACAATGACATTTTAAACAGACAAATCAGATATAGCCACTTGTCAGAACCTCTGGGCTACCTAACAAATGTCATGTGGTTACTGCTGTCTTGACGTTTATGGCTATTTGGCAATCACGGTGTAAAACCTAGTCAGCACAACATGAATGGTTGAGGGCCAGCCTGCTCCATAAACAGAAATCATCTGCATAATTCACCATGGATAAATGAGCTCCAAATAAGCCAGTAGGGTGCCATGGTTTAATTTTACAGGACTTCGGACAAACAACATATTTTTACTTGTTGGTCAGTTGGCTCAAAATATTTCATGGACACAATTCAGGCCATTCCTTTTATCCAACAGCTCTTAAATTACAAATTTAAATATGAATGCAACAGCACACATTTTCAGAAAACCTTTCGTGGAAGTGTTAAGGACAATTAATTAACAATTAATTGAAATATTGTAATGGCAATATGGCCATATGCAATATGCAAATCGCAGAAGCTGCAATTTGTTTGATAAATGTAAAATATGTGACAAAACAGCATTATAATGAAGTACTGTAGTTTGAAGAGAACCCCTGGTCCAGAGTTCTTCACAGGTCCAGTTTTGCAAACCAGCACACGCCTGCATCTGCAGAACTTATGAAGTGGTATGGAACCGACCCGTTACCCGCCATTATCTCCAATCAAATCCAGACACGACCAGTTAAAATGAAGTCAAGTTAAGTAGAAAAGTCCTGCAACCCAACTTGTGACACATGCTACAGACACAGTCATATTTTTACCTTTACTTATTATTTATGATTATTTGACTTAATTAGAAGTATAATATGTAGAAACATGAATTCAAATCATAATTAACCAATTGGCTGAATCAATCAAACTGTTGCTTCTCACTACGCTGCTGCTCTGTCCACATGACCAGCTAAGTATCAGTGCCAATCAAGCCTTGTGCCAGTTGAATCTAAATCTCCACACACAGTTTCAAACAACCTGAGGTCCCAGCCAGCAGACAAAATTTACAGCTAACTGGGTTGTCCTTTTCCTCCTGTTTTGGCGGCTAGAGAATTGTGTTCTTGGAAAAGTTTATGTCTAGCTTGTGGCTTTCACAACAAAAGAAAATCCTGGTGGCTGATTAGGCTTGATAACATTTAGCTGATTAAGATGTTAAAATAGTCTGTACAGTCATTTTCATTTCACATTTTTTCATCACACATTTTTGTTCTTGCCCAACTGCCCACCTCCATTTTTACCCGTCCCCATACCAAATTATTTACATTTTTATATATTATATAATTTAAATAATTGTACCCGTTTGCGGGTTACCCAACCCAGTTCCCTGGCCTACAACTGTTGTTCTCCAGGTTTAACGAAACATGTATGTTTAGTACAGCATCATTTTTCATTAAATTTGTGATGATGAATTATCATTCCTATAACAATTGTTGATCATATCACAGTATCTGTCAAAATAATTGCAATATGATGTTTTTACCATATTGTGCAGCCCTACTTAAGTTTCATAAGACAGACTTGGCTAAAGATTTTCACCTTATTTAGATGCAGGTTGTACATTTCAGCTATGGAGAAGTGAGGTATCTCTGAATTTGTGTTAGAATGCAGCAATGTAAAGCATTGCATGTATTTTAATGTGCCTTGTGAGTGTGTGTGTGTCTCCAATGATAACTGTTTGCATAACTGATTAGGCACTAATCAAAAGTGAAACATCAATTCCAGGCATGGCCCTCAACAAACAGGTAAGCAGAAAGTGGGAAGAAAGAAAGGAGGGGAGCTTTTATTAGCTGAGCCTGTAGAGGAAGTTGCCTCTAAGAGGCTGTGACCTTGGAGCTTTGCTATCAGACACATGCATAAATAGGCACGTACTGCTGTGCCACAACCTTCAGCTTTCATCAGAGGCCAACATGTCATCCAACAAAAATGGACTGTGACAAATACAAGGAGACAATTGGTTTGTGTAGAATGGACAAAGACGGGAAAGTGGCCAAAGAAAGCTGAGGAAGATACCATTCCTCTCGCCAATATCTCACCACGGTAAGTAGTCCCAATGCAACTGCACCACTGCGCACAGTACATACTGTCACAACTAAATCCTCCAGTCACTACAAACCCTTTAAGTTGCTCTTGAATTATTGTTCTGTATCACACTTATTACACACTGCAGTACACACAACAAAATGAAGATGCCCATGTAAACAAATGACATGTCTATAGAAAATATACCGAAGCAATATCAACACGGGACGGAAAACTGCAATCATTACTGCTGCCATTTACCATCAGCGCTGCGTCTAACACACGCATCACAAACTACATTCAAGGAAGCACTAAATGGGATATGAAAACAGGATAAGGCAATGGAAGAAGTTGACTCGGAATGCTGTAATAAAACAGTGCTAAATTGAGCCAAAAACAACTGGTAGAATAGAAGTGGAGAGGCAGATTGAACACTGACACAAACATATACAACATGAGTCGTTTCATTTGACCTCTTCTGAGTTGGGTCCCTGGCAAGGATTATGGGCAGTGCTTCAGAAAAAGATGAGCTCCTCGCTTTTTCAATAGTCAGTTTTTAACCTCTGCAGTGAGCCGACTATTCTAAATCCATCAACGCTGCGAGGGGAAAAGGGGAGAAAAAAGGCTTTTTACGTTTCATGTCTGAGCACCAAGGTCATTTTGGTGCCATCTGAAAAATCACAGGGAAAAGGCAAGAGCTAAGCCAAAATAATTAACCTAAAGCATCAGCTGCCCCTTTAACAGGGTCTTTATAAAGGGTCTCAGACTGTATGAGGCAGGAATGAAAACAAAGATATACGTGTAATATAAGTGTAATGTGCAGAGCAGGCAGACAGATGTTTGGATGAGGCTGTCAGAGAAGATCTGAAGTAATAACATGATTAATAAATGGTCAATTGATAGTCAATTAAATTCGAATTAAAAAAAGTTATTCCACTGTGCTACATAGGGGGTTGTGATCCGCTAGATGCCACTAATCTAGTGGTATAATTGCAGACTGCAACTCCCTTGCTTCACCCACCCATGAAATGTGAGAAAAACCCAAACGCCCTTCTCTAGAGCCAGAACTTGGTTTGTCCCTTCTGGGCTACTGTAGAAACAGAAAAGTGACCTGCAGTGTCTGTAGATAAAACAGCTAAATGTAAGGTAACATAAAACATAACAATTTCTATATTTAGGCAATTATACTTCTATGATATGTTAATGAAAACATAATTATGAATATTTTATATATAGATCCTTCTAAAACCTTTAAAGGTTTACAAATCATTTGGTAATCATTCTCAGATATTTAATATAGTAAATAAAATGTGTGCAACAATAAACAGTTTACTAATGCAATCGGAATGTAATTTTGTATTGTCTTTTATCAGCTATATATATATACATATTTCATATTTCTTAAATTACACAAACTGATAATAAAATAACATAAATTGTAGCATAACTAATAAGTAGTAAACTATTAATTATAATTTAATTGTTTGTTAAAAGTGAAATAGAATGTTTAATTAACTATCAATTTACCATTTATTAATGATGGTTATTATAAAGTAGGAATAATACATTGAAATTCATATTATTATGTATTATTCCAATAATTAAATCATAGCCCATAAATTGTTGATCCATAATAATAATTTATTTTGATTTCTTATGCAAAATGTTTAAAAGGCTTTGTGCTCTATGTTCTAGCTATTTTGTGAATGTTTATGATGTACTTCACTAGTAAACATAACCGCAAATAAACATTAGCATTCTTTTTACTATCAGGTGTACATAAACAACAGGTTCTTTTTAAAATACAAAAATGTTAAGTTATCAGTTATCTTATCCATGTCTGCTGGGGAAAAAAACATATGGTACATCCCTATTATAAAACGTTAGTGATTAGCTACAAAGCTCTACTACCAGTAACACATGGAGCAACCACTGTTGAGGAGCAAGGGCAGTTGAAGGAGATATCACAGTGGTAGGAGGCTGGGATTTGACAAGCTGTCTTGGCCAACCCTAGTGGGCCATCAGCTATGTGTGTGTGAGAATGTGTGAAGAATGACAGCAGCCCACTGTGTTCCCTGGTGCTCTGTGGTCTGTGGCCTTGAAGGCAGCACAGTCCCGAGGCTAACGTATTTTAATCCTGTTTCCTCTGGCTTTGTCACACCATGGGACTCCTCCAGCACTGCTCTCTTTCTCTGCCTGTATTTCCATCCAAACTTTTTGCTTTTCAATTAATGCGGTAAAACAGGGAGACATTGCAGGGTGACAATTTTACAAATATAATTTGAGACGTATTCTAGCCACAGAATGGAATGAAAACATGGAAAACACATTTCAAAGCAGTAGCAATTCTCTCTCTAGCTTGTCAGAAGAAAGCATGTCACATGTTTGCGAGACTTGGAGTTGGCACAGCAGCGCACCTCCCATTCTACCACATAAAGCATGAAATCAGGTGTTAAGTGTGTATTTCTGTATACATAGTGAAATAATAGCTTAGTGTCACCTTATCAAATCAAATTTGGAGAGAAAGGGGGATTGCATTTCACTGAGATCAGACAGCTGTGTGTGGACTGCCAGTGAATTTGTCCTTTGAGCAGAGCTGGTCAGGCTGGGTTGATGTGACAGCATTACACATTCATCTTGAGGAACCCTGCTGAGATCTGACACCCCAGTGTGTGTGTGTGTATGTGTGTGCCCCAGTGTGTGTAAGAAGAAGAATTAAACAGTTTAGAACTTACCAGGGAACTGGTAGCTATAGCTTGGGGTGAAGCCAGTGTAACCTCTACCGTATGTAGCTACAATGTTGGGGTAACCTGGAGAGAAGGAAAGATATGGTTGTTAAGAAAATCTCATTTGAATCTAAATTGAAATGTATGGAAGCATATTGCTCACACAGAAGCAAAAGAAAAAGGGACCAGTATCACATGAAAAATGTATTGTTACAACTTGGTCCAGTTGCAGTTATACAGTGATGCTACAGAGTGGAGGCTCCTCCCTCACAAATGATCTTTGACTAGGTGCAGAGAGCAGCTGCAGAGAGCACTTTAATTAGACAATGGCAAGTTATTCACGGAGTGCCAGCTCATATGATCTGCTGCCAGAATCTTTTGTTGTCATTTCAACTGGTGAAAGTGACGCTCATCACCAGCTAAGTTAAGCTAGCTGAATGTTTGAGCTTTCTTCATAAAGAAGAGAAAGTCAGAGTCAGAGAATAGCAAATCTGTGTATTTTTGCCAACGTGGATTTCAGAATTCAGAGTCACCAATGCACACAAACATACTCACATATGTAACAGACTAGTATAGAACACTAATCCACTCACCATAATTGCCATCATTTATATATGTAGATTTACTGGCTCAAGGGCTCCCTCTCCCAGTGAAGTACAGTGAGGTGTAACTGAGCTCAGTTACACATACACATGTAATTTACATTCACATATAGGAGCAAAATGCTTGAGACTATAGTGCTGAAACACTAGCAGGAATCCATTTACTAATTGGTATAAAGAATCTGAATCAGAATCAGAATCAGAAATACTTTAATAATCCCAAGGGGAAATTCTTTTCGTTACAAGACTCCAGGTACACAAACAACATATATTATACAAGC